TGACAGGTGGAGAAAAATGTTAATGTCCAACCCTGACTGTGCCCACCTCCTGGTCTCCCCCAAGCTCACCCGAGTAAGTAAGCGGCTTCATTTTGAACCGCAAAACCTTTTTAGCATTATTTACAATGTTAGCACCGCTAACTGTGCTGACACTGCTAATAGTGCTGAAAGACAGGGTTGGAAATTAACTTTTTTGGCCACCTGCCACTGCAGCTGGTGGATTCCAGGATCTACCAGCCACTCAATAGATTATCAGTCTTTTTGGCTGGTGACTGAAGCAAATCTAGCAGCCACTGGCATATTTTACCAGCATTTGGCAGTGGATGTTGCTAACTTCCACCACTGCTAACAGAGATAATATAGTTAACAATGCTAAAGGGTTTTGGCTCAAAACTGAGCTGCTTACTCACCATGGCGAGCTGGGGAAAGAATAGAGGGTCGGTGTAATGTTTCCATAGCAACGGTGTTGGGTCAGGACGGTGTTACTAGCTTTAATAGCCGGATCAGTGGGCTGCTAACGCTAGCTAGCTTCCACCAGACATGGGTTGTGCTCAGCGCAGTAAACCAAAAAGTAGCAAAATTAACAAATAGACCAAAAATTATAAAAATTACAAAATATTTTTGGGAGTTTACTTATTAACGGTTAACCACTGACATCCCTCGTCAAGTCCAACCATGCAGTGGAAATAAGGCAATAGTCCGCTGTGGTAAACTGTGTGACAATCCAGACATAGTTTGGCTCTTTTCAAGCAGGGTTGTGTAAGGTACTTATCCATAGTGTATTAGATACAGGAGATAGCGGTCAGTACGCCCCCAGTTTGGAGAAGCAGGCAGGAGTACCACCACTGAACATACGCAATGAACTGCTGTGAAGGGGGGCAGCAACAAATCATATTTTAGCCTCCTAAAAAAAAAAAAAAAAAATCAACAACACTATATGAGAATGCTTTACCTTTCCACAGACAGCCCTTTCCGACGGGCTAACAGTTTCTATGCCTTCGTCAAAGCCACCAGACTCCATTGACAAAAGGAGTCATTTTTGCTTGCTGAACACGAGAGCTGCTGGTCTACCGCCGCCTCGATCAATTTGTTTTTTTGTGTAACTGTGTGACTTTGGTGAGTCCAAACTAACCCTTCTAAATGCCAAAGTCACACAATAACACAAACTAACTGACTGTTTGAGACAGTGGTAGACCAGCAGCTCCTGAGGTCAGCGATAATAAATTACTGTTTTTCTCATTGGAGTCTGGCTTCGAAGAGAGTGATATAACAGCTTCAGTTCATTGTTGGAAATCAGTCTGACGGCAAGGTAAAGCTGAAAAAATATTCTCAAAACAGCACACACTTAAAGTGATACTGATTTTTTTTGGTGGCTAAAATACATTTTGTTGCTGACCCCATCCACAGCAGTAGATTGCTTAGCTTCCATGTCAGACTGCAGCCTGCTTTTCTAAACTGGGGACATGCCAACTGACATCTGCTGCACATAATATGCTGACTGTGGATAAGTACCTCACACAACCCCACTTTAAAGATCCTAACTATCCCTTTATGGGCACAATGACGGATTGGTTGGTGGTTGCGTTGGTGGCAGCACACACTAGGTGAGATCTGGTTGAAACAAGCAACTCTGGTATTGCCTAGTGTACTAAACCTGTGACATGTACTTTCTATACTTCACTTTAATTCGTGTGGTTCAGTTTATTGTTGTGGTCGCACTGTAAACACCACAACAAGGTTTACAGTGGAGCTGAATAATGACGACAGTTCACAGGATCTGATTTTAAAGAGCGCACGGACGCAGTGTTGCCTGAGAAATTTAATTGACTGTTCATGGCAGATGATCACGAGCTATTACCAACTTTTTATATCTACGCTTGTTGTGACTCACTGGTTCACATTCATTAATCCTCTCTATGTTGTGTATGCACCGTGGCCTTGGGCAGCACCACTACTATTAAAATACTACACAGCTGTGATTTACTCGCATACCTGTATCAAACTGCACACTTGACAAAGAAGGGAAACTTGCAGCCCCATGGCAGCATGGGAGAGCAGTTTAACAGCAGCAGGGTGGCCTATAGGCTACAGACAGTCCCATCTCTGCTGCAGCTCATGTGTCCATTAAAGGGATACTTGGCTGATTTTCAACCAGCTTTGTATTGAAACAATGTGGGTAGTGTGTGTAAATATACTGTGGTAAACTTCCCTCCATCTAACCAGTGCCTAGATATCCCTCCTCTCCCCACGGCGAAACTCTGCTCCACCACCACAGACATAAAGATAAAGAGACAGACCCACCCCTCTACCTCTCTAAGCTCAGACCGAAATCCGATCAAACTGTAAAATTAGGTATTGCCGATCAAAGATAAATCAAGTTTGTGTTACTGTCTAGCCTAGTTCTCACCTAAAATGTTTTCAGGAAACATTCTCATTCTCACCTCAGATGTTTTCAGAAACATGTTTTAGCTACCTGTAACTGTAAGAAGAGATTATTTGTTACCAGCCAGCCGCCGTTGTGTCTAACAGGTGAGTTCACATTAAGTCACCCACCAGCTGGAGCATTAATTGGTCGGTGCTGTGCAGTGCATTCTGGTAGTTGAAGGTTTTATATTTGTTGGGTGAAAGTGAATGTCACAGGCGTTTTTCTGTTTTCTCTGGTCATGTAGTACCAATTTCAAAAGTATGTGTCATTCTCCTACATTGACAGTCTACTTTTATGGAAAGACCATCTTTCCAGCAATGAAATACTTCTTTAAGGACTATACATCATGTGTACCAACATACTGAATGAACACTTGCAAGTGCAAATAATTGTCTAATTTGTAGATGAACTATGAGAGGAAATATGTGGATGAAATTAGCAGACATTTAAGAGAGCTCATCCTTGAGACATCCTGTCTAATTTGTTATCATTTATTTTTTAACTTCGATGACTAAAGACAGACAATGTGCAACATAACACAATCTCTACAGTCAGGGTCAGAGATTAACCCCTGCCAAGCGCCAAATGTGGGCAGATTTTCCATTTGGCGAGTAAATCTCAGAGGGCTGTCCACCACGCTGACGGGTATATGTTTGTACCATCTCATATAACGAACCTCTTCAGTGTTATGTTATTTACAAGCAGATCACTCTGCTGTCAGAGTCTGACACACAAACAAAGACGCATATACACACTACGGATTTGTTGAGTTTCTTGAGTGCTCTGAGATTTGTGGCACAGTTTACCGTACAGGACATCAGCTGATCTGTTAAATTATCACGTGCCGTCAATCTGCTGCTAGCTTCTGTTAGGCTAATGCATAGCTGAGGGTTGTGAGTTGCACCCATATTTATAAAGGGAATAAAATAACACGTAAGCTCTGTAGTCTGAACCAAGACTGTAAATTCTTTTTTGCCTCACACACTGTCAACAGTGGCACATTTTAGCTTCACTCCCTCTGTTCTTACCTTTCACAATAAAAGCCCTAGACATTTACACAGCATTACTGCTTACCAGAGGAAACTGATTCATATGTTGAGGCTGAGCTGATGAGTTATTCAATAATAATTTTGGTTCAAATTTTGCTCCAGCCTCTTCTAAATGTTTCTGTTCGACATAATACTTCTGTCTCAATGAAATACAGAAACAAATGTATGTGACACAAAAAGGCCATTTTTATTTTGGCCAGTACAAAAAAAAAGAATGCTTGGCCGGTGAGTCCAAAAGGTAATTACCTACAAAATTTCATCCAAGGATCTTTTCAAAAACTGTCATTAAAAATGTATGCATCATAGAGACTCCCAAAACCTTCAGAAGCTAAAAACAGATCTACAGTAGGAAGCTAAAAACACCAAGGACAAACCGCTGTCAAACTGACTTAGTGAAAGCACAACATTGACCCTCAAATGACCTCAAATTTTGGTAAGAATTCAGAATGTCGGTCCACAAGGACAAGACAACAAGACAACCTGAGCCAGGCATTGGTGAAACCAAAGATGAGATCAGTATGGGGTTGTACTTCCAGAAAGCTCCACGGTGTCATCCACTCAGCTGCAAGTTTCATAAACAACTGCTCAGAGGAGAAGTGGTGCATGACAGCTTTCCATCAGGATGTTAACACACCACAGTCTGAGCTGCTGCTGGTGTGCATGCTAGCTCTGATCTGACGTCAAAAAAACAAGTTACTTTTGGCTCTGACTCTGCAGCCATGACAGAATCAATTAGATCAGCTCAGGCTTCCTTGAAGCATTGAGCAGGTAGTGGACTGAGGCATTGTGGTATTGATCAAAGTGAAAGGTTTTCTTGAGTGGGTGGGGTGAGAGGGGGAGACAGTGATTTGCCCGGAGACGTCGGCCCACCTAGAGATCAACACTACAACTCCTCTGAGGGGTGTCAGGAGCTGCACGGTGCCCACAGACCCACACGTGCACACTCACATACACAACGGCAGTATGCTGTGTTAGCTTTGGTAGCATCTGGGGCTGGAAATGCTACGCTTTCCACCTTACAGCAGTCTGACTGAGTCTGAGAGAGAAGACAGTGGAGGCTGATGCTTCTGGAAACGATGCAACTCTGGCGAAAGCATCCATCTTCTGACATGCTCACTCACACAAACATGCACAAAGACACACTTAAACTGCATTTAACCGGCATTACACTCCAGAGGACTGAAATACATTTGCAGAGGAGATGATTGCACATACGCACGCCGACACACAGTAAGAGTGAGAGAATGCAAGGCAGGCGGTAAGCTCAGCGTGACCAGCTAGCTTGTAGTGCCGACCCTCCGTGCTAAAATGGTAGATCCCAGATTTCTCCCCATGCAATCTGCCACCAGCAACCATGGAGGCAAAACAGGAAGAAGAGAGGAGATGAGAGGAGAGGAGGGATGCAGGGACAGAGAAGCCATTTCCCTTTCCTCCTCTCCCCTCTGATAAAACACACACATAAACACACAGAGATACATAAACATGGATAAACACAGAGGAGGCGGGAAGATGTTGGTGGTACTTACATGAGGACTCTGTGCCGAACATGGCTGGGCCGGGAGCTGTGATGGAGAGAGGAGGAGGAGGAGGAGGAGAAGGAGGAAAGAGAGGAGAGAGAAAGGGGAGGGTGGGAGAGGAGGAGAGAGCAGAGAGAGAGAGAGAGGGGGGAGGTTGATGAGCAGGCAGCTACTCAGCGGGGGTCATCAAAGCAACACAATGCAGCCAGCCGGCCGTCGCTGCCTCCCAGACGGCCAGATGCCCCAACTCCGCTATCCGTCGCGGCTTTAAAAAGCCTCCTCCTCACACACAAGCGCGCACGCTCTCAGTTAGTCCGGCCGCAAAAACACAAGAGGCCTCGTGGAGGATTAAATCGATTAATAAATAAATATAAAACAAAAACAAGCAGAAATCCTTCACAGCCGAGGCAAACTGTGGTCAGATCCAGACACGGAGATGTGGCTGTGGCTAGCTATCGCATCTCTCCTCTTTCTGCAGCCTATGTCCTCCTCCTCATCCTCTCCTCTCCGTCACCCTCTCACTTCTCATGCCACTGTAGTATTTACTGACGGAGAGAGAGAAGGGAGAGAGGGAGGCTTTCCCTGGGAGAAGGGAGAGAGAAGGGGGGGAGGAAAACTAAAAATCTGGTGAAGAGCTGCTGCCGCTGCTGCTGCTGCTGCAGCCGCTGTAAGACAATAGCTATGCAAACACAGAGTGACGTCAGAACGGAGGGGGGGAGATGGAGAGAGCTGTAAAAAGACTGACTGCTGCCAGATGGAGAGAGAGAGAAGGAGGGAGGCAAGGAAGGAGAAGGGGGAAGAAACAAGGAGAAAACAGGAGGGGAAGATGGAGAAAGGGGGAGGGCAGGAGAGTAGAGAAGGAGAGATGGGAGGGCAGCAGCTAAAAGGTGGTGAATATAGGATGGAGGAGGGCAAGGACAGAGGAGAGACGGTCCAGTGAGGGAAGGGACAAGGAGGAGAAAAGGCAAAGGTGGTAAAAGAGGTAATGAAAAAGAAGGAGGAAGGGCGAGACGGAGAAGAGGGGGGACAGATAAAGAGATACAGAGGGGGAGGAGGGAGGCAGCTGGGGCTGAGGGGGCACGGGAGAGGACGAGTGGGAAGCAGGCCAATCAAAATGGTTTGTCTACTTAAAAAAAAGCTAACCGAGATACAACGGGACACACACACACACACACACACACACACACACACACAGGAAGGAGCAGTGGGGGGCAGGGGGCTGCAATCTGTCGGTTCGACAAATTGAAAAGAGTATGAAGCTGAGCACTGCTGTGTGTTTACCTGCTGTTAATACAACACACACATACACACACACACACACACACACACACACACACACACACACACACACACACACATACACACACACACCTGGCCATTAGGGAGCCCAGCAACAAATTTCCTGTTGTAGTACTCACAACATCATCCATCAAACATGCATGGACATAACCTGTATAACCCTTTAGATACTGTATGAAAAATATGACATCAAATCACGTGCCAGATTATCTCATAACAAGGCCCATACCAAATCTACGCACGCAGATTTTCATTTTGGATCATCTCTGACAACTTTTAAAAAATCCGCAGATTTCGTTTGGGGTTGCTCATAACTCATCTTTGCTATAGAGAGGCAGAGACCCTCCTCTTCCGCTGTACAACAATGGGACCTTATTGTTACCTGTTAGCAAATGCAGTGGCGCACTCAAACGGTCCAAGAGTTGAGTGTGGAAAGACACTTCTAAACCTCAATGGTTGCCATCTTTGTGACATAGCAAACCTCTCAACTTTTGACGTGGCAGCTGGAGACAACAAGGGTCCTGTTAGTTCTACATGTTTTTTGCACAAAGTACCAAAACTGTTGTTGAACAGAAGCCGTCAGTAATGCTTGTTTGGTCTGTAATGATTTGGTACTGTGAACAATAATGTGAGTGCTAATGTTAGCTTGCTAGCTAATATTAGCATTTGCTAGCTAGCTAACTTGGTCCTAGCACTGATGTTGTGGCATAAGTTTGGTTTATGTGTGGGTGGAGATAGCGGTCAAATATTAGCAATGATGCTCCACCATGTCTTTGGCCATTTAAAAAGAAGATGAAGAAGAAGAGGCAGTGGGAAAAACACAGAAAGCCGTCTTTACTTTCTGGCAAGTGCAAAACAGCAGCGTGCAATTTGAGACAACACTACCCTGCTGAAATTTGTGCACCATGAAAGAAGTTCATAGTGCACATAGTGTACTACATTTAAGTGTACTTCATTTTCTGTCACATATGACAAAGAAAAACAGCACATCGTCTCATTTGAGAAACTGGAACCAGATAATGTTGAAAAATGGCTGAAACCTTTCATCAGTCATCAAAATAGTTGCAGATTAATTTTCTGTTGATCAACTCATCTATTAATCAACTAAACATGGCAGCTCTACTTGTGAACACAAATCGTGGTACGTATGGCTGCTGTATTTAAGACATCTGAATCCTTTTCAGAGCTCTAAATCTAAATGATTCAAGTTTTTCTGACTCTTTCAGGATGCGTGGACATTATGTGCATGTCACCAACATGCTGCAAGTGACAAGTCTCATTATTGATGCATACTGTAAAACTTTCATGAAGACCGGAGTATGGAGCCTTCAAATGTAGTAGAGTGCACACACAGCCCAGTAACTGCAGCAGTGGTGCACACTGGGCCAGCTTTGAGCATATGAATGGGTACAGTGGTGAGTCTTTACAACAGCCTGCTAACCTAAATAGATGGGAGGTCAGCCGGACGTCCTTGTGGCCCCCACTGTGAATGGGGTGATGCTAGCTAGCATGTGGATTAGCTCAGCTGCTGAATAGAGGAGCATGTACCGACGGAGGCCTCTGTTCTTTTGTGTCTCACACCCAGTCACCCTCCTCCTCCTCTCCTTCTCCTTACGTCTTTGTCCTTAGAGCACAGGGAAGAGACCCCTTCTCTCCTCCCCTACTCCTGCTGCAATTTTCTGGCAGAAAATTTCAAATATAGAAATCAGGGATGTCTATATCAAGATTTGGCCACAATCTGAGTCCTTTAATAGTGTTTATCTGCCAATATTTAGATTCAATTAAATGCTGATTAAATACGATAATACATTTTATTTATAGAGCTCTTTTCGTAGTTCTCAAAGACATTTTGCATAAGTTAAAAACGGTCATAAAATAAAATACACTAAAATACACACATTATTCACACATATATATGTACCCAACATGCTAAAATAAAAGCTGTGGCCTACTTAATCTGACACACCATATTTTCCATGAGTTACGTGACCCAAATACTGAAGGTCCTGGTTCAAAAATCTTAAATTTATAGCCTTAAATTACTGACATATTATGAATGCAAGATTAACTGGGAAAATGTAACTCCTGAAATTGACGTGACACGATTGGCTAGACAGGAGACGTCTCACTCTGAGGGAGGTGTAGGAACTACAGGAACACTCAGGAGTGTACAGACGCATGTTACAGAGCCGAGGGTCTTCCCTCACAAATGATTTTTGGGGAGGACAGACACGGGCTTGCAGAGAGCACTTTAACCAGACTGAACCAAAGTGTAATTTGAGGCTGCTTTAAAGTTACTCACAGAACTGACATTAATTAGTGACAGCTGATTTGACCTGCTGCTATTGACATTTGTGTTAACGACTTAGCGGGATTTATACTTCTGCAACTTATCAATGCCGTACCTATGGCACAAGCTCTGCACAGACGCATACCCTTAGCCATAATGCAGATTTGTAGTTGTGTGTTGGCTTTGTGCAGAGCCTACGCCTACTCTGTAGAGTTTCTATGAAGTGCTGTAAAGTTTAGCTGATTCAAAACACAAACACACATTAAACACACATTAAACACACACTAAACATGGCTTAATGGCGAAAATATCAAACACAAGTACACAATTCAGCTTCATTATGAGGACCAAGACACACAGAAAAAACAATTATCTTTTACTGGACACATTTTTCCCCCGAATCCAACATGCTAACGTAATTAGCACAAGCCTATGGCATATTACATTGTATAAATTAGCCTAAGGGCTAGCGGAACTTTCCTCTACTCTTACAAAGGTAGGAAAAACGGAAACATTTAACAAAGGTAACTTTACAAATGTTGGCTCCATTATAAAGCACAAGGTTCACTATCAAAGCAGCTGTGTTACTATACATATTTCTCCCACAAATACAACATGCTAACGTTATTAGCACAACCTTATGACATTTTGCGTGACCTTTATCAGCCTAGCAGCTAGCAGAGTTTTTCTTCACTCGTATGAAGCCAGGATAAATCACACTCATTTTGTCATCTTCACAATTTACTGTTTCCTAACTGTGAAATAAAGCTTCGTTTCCACTGAGGGAAGTGGTTTTCATTCAATAAAAATAAACTGGAGGTCTACGTCGCTATGACTTGTGATTACATTTCTGGGGGCTACAGGCTATAGCGGAGCTTATACTTCAATGTCAGATTGAGGCCGTACCTACAGCGTAGGCTAGAGCGACACTCTCAGTGGCTAAAAGTGAGAAGCTGAACATTTTGTTCATTCCTTAAAAAGTTCTCTGAAAGTTAAGCTGAACTGGAATCAAGTGTGACCCTCTGATCCAGCTCAGCTGTTAAGATTTTAAGGCGGAACAAGACTTGTAAAGATTAACGTTCTTTGCAGCGCTGTGTCTCACTCTCCATCCTTACTGAAGACGTCTCCTGAGGTCATGTTAATTACACGAGGGGGCTCTATCTCAAACACCCCCGAGAGGTGAGGAGGAGGTGAGATGGGATCTGTGCGATACTCTGCCATCTGTGATCTCATTCAGTGTGATCTGCTCTCATGTCAGCTTTACACAGTCTCTGCCCCTGACTGGCGTTGGTATGATCTGACTGGAGATCAGTAGTTCAGGAGTGAGCTGGACAAGGCACCAGTGAATTCTCCGAATCAGTGATGTCCCAATCAGATTTGTTTGGCCCCAAACCCAATTCAGTAATTTAATATTGGGTTTCCGCCAATACCAGGACGGATCTGATGCTTATATTTA